GCAAGACATTTCGAGTCAATACAGCCGAAATGTAAATGTATCTAAGAGTAGCTAAGTAAAAAAAACAAAAAAACAAAACCGACCCTACTGATCAAATACTATATCTGAAAAAAATATAGTAACAAACTTGAAAAGTTAGCCAACACGTTAACCAGTTTCTAATCACAAACACTTTTTGTTTTCTCAGATCATGAGGAGAGTTGGAGTCAGCAGCAACCAGGTAAGGAATTCTGACCCAATTCCTAATGAAATGTTTCTGAACTGCACGACTATTCAGACTATTTGACTTTTCACTTATGTAAACAGAACTCATCAGTTCAGTTCAGCTTTGTCCAAATTTCCAACTTAAAACAGAACCCACACTCACAATGATTAACAGACGTATAAAAAGTTACATTCCTACCCTGTTGGCAGGTCTTATAAAAAATTAACTTGAAGAAATAAGACAGGGGCCAAATAAAACCAGCCCAAAGCCAGAGTCCAAGGCCCCGGTGCCAGGCTTCTTTTGGGCCCTGCCCGTTTTTCCTGTGAGTCGTGTGAGGTTTTTTCACAGGAACAGCAGCAGAGGGTAAAACTGTTTCCACTCCCTGAGTCTCACGTGTTTACAGTGAATCAGTCAAACTGCTGGCGGTCGGCGTTTTGAGGATTTCCAGTTGGTTCTGGTTCTGCTGCTGCTGCGGTGTATTGTTCTAACAGTCCAGGTCTCCTGTGGAGCCCAGAACTCCACAGAGGTTCTGTTACTGCAATAACCTGCGGGGGAAACGAGTCCACCGGCTTTACGGTGCAGTAAAGTCGCTCTTAAAGTCCGCGACAGCCTCAAACGCTGCTGCTGGTTGGACCAGTCAGGGACTCGTGGTTGTTTTAGAGGAAATAAAAGTCCAATTTAATGTGAAAATCAAAACATCACTTCTTCGAGTGTATAATAAAAAAAAACAACAGTTTGATAGTTTGGAATTAAAACACACTCACCTCCGTGGCGTCACCGGTTCCCTTCAGGTCACGTGACACAAAGAGGTTGACGATTGGTCGACTGATTCGTTGAGTGGCCAGGATGAGGGCGAGGGGCCACCAGAAGTTTAGCATCTTTTTGATGGTGGCGTCACCCTGCAGGGACCCAGACAACACTCAGTGATGACGTCGGCACTAAAGTTTACGAGATCACATCCATCCATCCATCATCCATCCTTCATCCATCTAACTTAACCATGTTAAACCACAACACTGAGATTTTCATTTTTAAGACTCTCTTTTTTACACTTCCTGTCCAGTGTCCCTTTACTCCAGCGATTCCCAACCTCTGTGCCGTGGCCCACTAATGTGCCGTAAATGATCCAATTCCACCATTGGGCTGAAAACTATGATTTATTGATTGTCTATTCCTCATGATATATATGTGCCGTGGGAAATGCTGCTTAACTCAGTACTAACATTTTTTTTCCCAATTCAAATACCATTTTTATGTTTTATATTTCTCCACTTTGTTTTTGTTTTTTTTGTTTGTGGTTCAATTCCAAAGTACACAATCTTCAACTTGGAGTATTCACGTCCAATGTTTTCCGTGGTATTTTAACTTTTTATATCGGCTGTAAAGCTCACACAGCGGAGAGAGGACTCACACGATCCTTCTTTTATTGTCACCACATTTGAATAACGCCGCCGTAGCTCTGGTCCCGGTGGCTAACCGCGACAGTGTGTAAAAAAACAACCGCTCATTTACTTCGGTGCTATTTATTTCCCTCTTCCCACTGCATCGCCGTGACGACCAAAACACACACACGCACGGTGTAAATAAAGAGTTGGAGGAGGAGGCGCGGCTCTTACTCCCACGTCCAGTCCGCTGGAGTCTGGGATGTTGTCGTGAATGTTACAGTAGTAGCCCACACCCACGATGCTAAAACGGACCAGGGCGCCCATGTAGAGCGACAGGATGGGAATGAGCAGCGGCTCCACACATTCCAGGTTACTGTGGAGGAGGATGGCCACGAACACAATCTGCAGGGAGGACAAAAAGTCATTTTAAACCCAGTGACCGTCGTCGAGTGCAGCTCTGAAGGAAAGCGGGTCAGAGGTCCTGACCTGGGCCACCACATCAGAGATGGAGGCGGAGCCTACGATCACGCTGTACTTGTGCTTGAGAAGAATCCCGGCATGAATCCACGCCTAAAAAAAAACAAAACAAAACAAAGGAAAGGAATCAACTGCAGCCTCTTTAATAAAAATGAGCCGGACTTTGAAGCAGGAAATGCATTGTCATTGAGCCGGACTTTGAAGCAGGAAATGCACAGTCATTTCCCCTCAGCGTACACCCTGGATACAAAAACCCTGGACTGATTCACATCAGATGTGTTCAAATCCCACCATTCCACATTAATACGTCCGCCCGTTGGTGCAGAATAATCCCGCTGCGGTGTTCACTCACCATGGCATCCAGCAGAGGGAACGCAGCCAGGTAAAGGAAGGCCTTCCTGGTCTTGTTCCCCACCGAATCATCCACGTGGTGGAGCTTATTGATGATGTAATACCCCAGATCTGTGTAGGCTGTGGAGAGGGAACGACAGGTGAGCAGGCACCGGGGTGGTGGTTTTTTTTTTGGAAAAGTTCAGTGAGTTCAGCGTTTCGTAATGACACTTTTTGGTTTGCTGCAACCTCACAAACCTTCCCCAGGATGTGGATTTGACCGAGTGTGTCATCATGCACGCATAAACAACCCTTAAACACACACCTATCAAGATGTGCAGGATGAAGGCGATGACTCCGGCCGCCACCATGCAGAACACCGCCTTCCTCCGGTCCCTCCTGCTGTTGACAAACACCAAACCCACATTCTTGAAGTCGCTCATGGGCCCGGTGAAGAACTTCATCAGGGAGTAGGCCAGGCCGTAGCTGGCCAGCATTTCAATGGCATCTTCTTTGACTGTGGCTATGCCTCTGTTGAGGGCCTGGTGGAAAGGGGGAGGGACAGAGAGGAGATCAGGGTTTTTTTGGTGACATTATCTCGGACCAGATGCTTTCCTTCATCAAACAGCAGCAGGCCATAAAAAACCCCGACCTACTGTCATTTGGACAGAACGGGGGTCTGCCACCAAAACATCTGGACTGGAAACACCCTGTCCTCCAATCACTTTTTTATTTTATTTTACCTTCAGGCTAACAAACACAGCTGCTTCTCTCCTTTGCAGGATTGCGTGCTATTTATACCGGCGTCAAGAGCCATTACATAAGCTTTAATCCTGACGTCGCCGAGACCCGAGTGTGTCTAAACCCTGGCTCTATCTGCCCCGTGTCTCACGGAGGAAGTGCAGACACACAGCTGAGGCGGGAGGGGCAGGAAGTGGGCCATTATGAAAACAAAGACATTTACCAAATACCACAATTGAACGCACGCACGCCAGAGGACCAGGAGGGACCGGACCGGTCAGGGTTTGGTCAGTGATCACAGTCGACCTGCTGTGATTGTTGTTGAAGGTGATGATTCAGAATCACATTTAACCAAACAAGTTAGGACGCAGCCAAATACTGTGTTGACAAAATACATAGTACAAACAGTAGATCTTAGAGTAATTACCAGTTTATTCTCTGTGTCGTATGTGTTTTCTATGTTGTATGAACCCTGAGTTGTTTATCACGAGTCAGCCCCCTAGTGGCAGAAAAAAGACTGCCCCAAGTCTGCCTTTAAAAACATTGTACTGTAGGCAGCTGGAGGCCTACCAGCCCATTTCACAAGGCCCAGCAGTGGGCCATGACCCACATTTTGCCAATTGTCGGCCTAAATAATGCATGTCAACAGAAGCCTGAGAACATCTTCTGTGGAACTGTGTTCTGCTGAGCTAATACTAGCTTCTGGAAACGGTGTCAGTGTTTGTAAAAAAAAAAAAAAAGACAAAAACAATGATGCTGGGCCGCGACAGCAGCGATCAATACAGAGATTGTTATTCCCCCCTAGAGGCGGAATGTGGCAATTAAGGACGCCGTTCTCTGCCGTTAGCTGCCGCCACTGACCTCTGACGGTAAAACGGTCAAACACCGCGCGGCGGTTACCTGTTCTCCGAGGTCGATGGCGATGTTGGTGATCGCCAGAGGCACCAGAAAACGGATCAGCGGCCAGTACGCGCTGAGGGATGGAAACTCCACCATAGTACAGGCTGCTCGGACACCGCCACGGGCATCTGCCTCGATTCTGATGGGTTGAGAGAAAAAAAACCCCGAAGATCAGCGGCTCCGCGAGTCACAGCACATGCGGACGTTTCTACCGAGAACCGAGGACGAGGAGCGGGAGGAGCAGGAGCAGGAGCCGGGGGGCGCTGCTCCTGAGGCGGCAGCGCTGCTTCACGATCTGCGGCTGCTGCTGCCCAGAAGAGGAGGAGGAGGAGGAGGAGGTGGAGGAGGGGGAGATGTCGGCG